GGGGTGAGCAGTGGTGGTTCCCACCCTCCAGGAGGGTCCCTAAAGAACTCTAAGCCCTTAGGAGGACCCTGCGGGTGCCCACCCACTTGCCTGCTGCCTTTCTGCCATGCCAACCTGAAGCTGGACGTTGGCCACCCATCATTGCGCAAAGCCTCTTCCTCTCCCTTCTGCTGGACCTCGGGTACCCATCAGCGCACAAGCCCCCTCCTCTCCCCGCTGCCGGACCTTGGGCACCCATCTTCGCGCAAGGCCTCTCTTCTCTCCGTTGGTTCTTAGCCAGGATGGTCCAGGTCTTGACTCTGACATTCCTTCCTCTCCTAGAAGCCATACCCGCCACACCCTCTACAAAATGGCACCTCGACTTTTCTGCTTCCCCCATCTGTTCTCTTACTGACACATATGCCAGCCGGCTTCCTGTCCTACTTCCTCTCCACAATGGCTGCCCACCAAGGTGGGGTTTTATGTTCCCTTGATTGTTGTGTTCTCCAAACCTGGCAAAGCTCCTGGCAGCCCAATGTGAAGCAGGCATAGAGTAAATATTTGTTCAGTCAGTAAATACTGTTAAGACAATGTGTGGGCTGCCAGGATAAGAGGAGGTACTGGGGTGGACAGAAGGCAGGCACAGATCCCTGGGGGCAATGGACTATGAGGTTGGGCCTTGACCTCAACTGTCCCTGTCTTTTACATAAGGCCAAGCAGGCCATTCCCAGGGCAGTAGCTAAGGTCTGAGCTCTGACAGGCCGCAGTGACGCGCTTTCCCTAACGTCTCTCATCCTCTGGCCATCGACTTTGCTCTTTAAATTGGGCCAAGGAATTTCTGGAAGGCATGCTCAGCCTTCCTCTACCAGCTCTTCAGCCTGCTGGAGGCTGCAGGGTTTGTCTGTGCCTATGCGCCTGTTGGGCTGCCTTCTGCTGCGTTTCTGCGTCTCCATAGCTGGAGGGAAGGACTTCACGGTCTTGGGAGCACTATTTCCTAACAGTAAACAGCCAGAGCTGAGGAAGTGGGAATACTGAAGCCTGGTGAGGGACTGGAAGCAGAGCCAGGTAAAGCCATTAGCCTTATTCACTGTGTATTTTCCCGTTTCCCGGAGAGAGCGTCTAGATGAATATTCTATGAGCCCTTACGGCAAGAAGCTCTGTGCGCATCTGGAAGAAGTCTACACGGACCACGGTGAAGTGGGAGGAGGCGCCCGCAGTGAACAGACTTACCCAGCCCACACGAGAAGGAATATAGTAGCCTAAGTGACAATCCCCCAAGCATGCTGTGCGATCCTGGACACCCAGAAGCCTAATCAGACTCAGAGACACATTTGTTAGATCCACCCGCAGGATCTCACTTCTTTAGGAACAGATGTGTGTTAAGTGGATGCTACGGCCCTGGCCCCGGGGTCACAGCATGCCAGTGTATGTCATGAAGCAGAGAGGCAGAGATAAGTGGGAAGAAAACAAACTCAGTAAATACTACAGAGAATGAAAGGGGGCTAGAGTGTGACCAGGCATCTATTTCAGTCAGGAAAAGCATCTTCATGCAACCGTGGCTCGTATGATCCTGTGGAGGGGGCCATGCAGGGCGGGGGCGGGGGCGGGGACCAGGGGAGGTGGAAGAGTGCTTTCCTGGTGTAGGGAACGAGTGGCACCGAGACTTAAGCGGCACTGAGCAGTGGATAGTCAAGGAACGGGAAGACTGTGCATCGTGGGGCATGGTATTCCCTGGGTGCCATGGTCTCTGCTGTATGGAGAAAGGGAGACACCGGGAAGGGTCACCAGGCTTGGATTGGTGGGGCGGGTTTGATGGAGGAAATAGAGAGGAGTGGGCAGGCTGGAGGTGCACTCCAGGGGAGCGGAGAATGGACTCTGCTCATGGGCTGGATGGAGAGGTGTGGATGCAAGGGGGCTTGTGGGTTTGGATGCAAGCAGCATGAGGAGGGTGCAGAAGAGGGAGGAGAGAAGCAAGGATTTGTGTTGACTTCGGTGGAGATGCTTAAAAAACGAACGGAGCAGGCGCCTCCCAGTTTGGGGTTTGTTGGGACTGGAGAGAGAGAGCTGGGAGCATGGGCTGGGGTGGTGCTGAGGCAGGAAGGTCAGGGGTAGCAGTGCAGTGTGGGATCTGAGAGGGAACAGCCCTTGGTGATGACCAGTCAGCTGAGGGAAAGCTCTCTTCCGGGATGTAGGAGGAAACTGTCGGGGATGGTGAAGAGGCCAGATGCTGAGGGGTCATCCCCGCGGGTGCAGAAGTTACCCAAGACAGGAGAGGGGCCCCAGAACCCCCACATCGTCACCAAAAGAAGGAACCTCTCTTGGGAGGTTAAAAACGTCTATTTCCGCATGACATGGAGGCTGAGAGCTGCTGGGAGGAGAATGTGGCAGATGGAAAGATTGCAGGGTGAGGGGGGCAATGCATTCTGGGGGCCTGCCCGGTGCCAATCCCAGAGACTCTAAGATGCAGGATGGTAGGTAGCTGGAGCAGAAAGCAGATGGGAAGCTGGTTGGGCGCCTTCCAGCTTTGGGGTGTTGCTACTACCAGAGGCGGCCGCTTTGTAGTCATACCAGCCTGTTGGGACAGGATGTCTGCAGAGCCTGTGGGAGGGAGGGAAGGGAGGAAGTTCCTGGAGGGAGGTAGATGACAGGGAGGAGGGGTGTCACCTTCTAGCAGTGACTAGGCTGCAAGGAGCTTCAGCTGTCCAGAGGGAAGGCACACAGGATGTGGCTCAGGCATCTCAAGGGTGATGCCTTGGCCTCTCGAAAGACACAGAAGCTGGGGGCATCTGGCGTTTGCCAGGAGGGTACCAGAGCATCGTCACCCTGAGCCTCTGCAAACCTCTCTGGAGGGCAGAGGCCTGACCCGGTTAGGATGGCAGGCGAGGCCTCACAGAAAGCTGCCCCCAGAATTTTCTAGACCTTCTGGGAAGCCGTACCACAGACAGAAGTGGCAGCCGGTATTCTGCCCTCCCAAGGCTGCGGCTGCTGCTGCTGCAGGTGGCAGCAAAAATGGGATTTTTTTTCCTCTGGTACCTTTGGGTCGGGGAGAGGATTCTCTGAGACTGCAGGAACCAAGATAAGGATGATGGTCACATGCCAGCAGGAGACCGAGGGGAAGGACAGGGGAGGGCAGACTGGATTCTAAAGGCCTCCCCGACCGCACCGGGCCCTGTTTGCAACCCCCATCCCTCTGGCTGCAGGCTTAGAGACGTCTTTCTCTTCTACTTACCACTGACTTGCGGATGCTAACGCGGGGCTTGGGGATGGGTTTGGAGGGCTTGTTTTCAAAGCTTTCCGGAAGCGTGGAGGAATGCCCCCCTTTTCTTGCTTGTAGAGCTAGCTGGTAAGCGACCTCGAATGCCTGTCCCAGGGTTAGAATGATTTCATAGGCTAAATTCTGCAAGAGAAACAAACAAACAAAACACTTACTACTGGCACCCAGTGGACCAGAATGAACGACTGAGGGCCAGTGTAGGACACGAGCTAGGGTGGACCTTCAACTGCTCATTCTACCTGCAGCTGCGGCGACTCTGGGAAAATCTATAAGAACAAGGCACCCTGGGCATTAGCCACCAAGGGAGCATCTGTGTGGAGCCACACTGCGGGGTCTCCTTCATTAATCCCCTATAAACAGAGTCCCCAGGTGTTCTCCAGGTGGAGCTCCCATGGGGGTGACTTCCGTGCACATGGGGGTGGGGAGGGGTTAGTAGTGGTGTCACGCCTGCGCAGACAATCCCACATGCTCCACAGGAGGTGTTCCGGAGAAGTTTGGGTCTTTTTTTTTCCCCCTCCAACATCTGTGATTCGGCGGATATATACACAACACAATCAAAATCTAATTTAGGCCGGGGAGACGTATTAGTCATTCTGGTGTGGAGTCTCACAGTAGCAGCAGTGAGCATGCAAACACGGCTCACACGGAGCCAATTATCTGTGTTTCTTAAGGATTTCTGCACTCCCCAAGGGTTCAGTCTCAGTATTTTATCATCAAATCACCAAGAGACATGAGAACCTGTCGGGCTGGGACGCCACACCAAACCTCTCCTGCGAGGTACGTGTCTTTTCTCGGACCGCTTCTCTCAGGGTGGTGTCTCTGCCCTTCCTTCTTCACGGACTTCATTTTTGATTTCTGCTTTTTCTCCCACGTGAAGCTTTCCCCCTTTATCGTCTTTCCCAGGGACAACATGACATTAGCCACTCAAAGGAGGGAGGTCAGAATGTGCCGTCGAAGTGGAAGCCTACCGGTCCACACCGAATGTAGGCTCTACGCTGAGCCACACCCCGAGCCTGGGAATGTTCTCAGGCTGTGCCAGCGGAGAGCAGCCACCACCCGTCTCAAGCTTTTCACTCTCTGATTGTCCCTGTGGTGTTTCTGTGTGGCTTTTCAAATTTGCAGGTAGCACACTCTGTCTTGCTGGTCTCATTCCGAATCCTCCATGTCTCCTCAGCGGGCTGGGAGAAACGTTGGGACTGCTGTTGTCCTTGGTACCCAGTGGGGTGGCCTAGAACTCAGTGAGGAGGGAGGACGTGGATGGCCTTCCAAGGCCGTGGGGAAGAGACTCACCAAATCGAGACCAACCAGATTTTAGGTCAAAGCCATGGTCTTCAAACCAAGTGGGGCAAGTCTGTGATCTTGAGGGGCTGGTTTGACAGAGGATGAGTCAGTCTCTGAGCTCCTAGCAAATGGGCATTTGATGCTGAGATCCTGCCCCTTGCACAGCCAGGTCACACACTTCCGCTAAGCCGCGTTTGCCTCCTGCGAATGAGTCAGCCGAGTAAATTAGCAGCACAGCAACAAATAATAGTGGAGGAGGACAAGGAGGCAGCTCTGACCATCACTGCACAAAGAGGGCTGAGCCCTTGCCTCTGCCTACACTCGGCGTGCACGTCACAAGTCCTTGTCGGCTTTGCCTCAGCACTGGGCGGGGGGGGGGGGGGGGTCATGGAGGACCGATGGGGCTCCTGACATCCTTGGTGTCGGGAGGGCATTGCTGTTCTTGGCTGTGGCTTTGTTCAGCCTTCCTGCGGAAAGTGTCTGTAGCAGACACTTGTGTTCGGGGGCTGGTGAGAATCTGAGCAAGCACGTGGGTGCAATTCCTTCACCGTCAGCCTCAGACAAGTTCCTCCAAGTGAGAGCTGTGGAAGATGACAGCATCTTCACGTGGCAGCCAGGGCCACTCATGTGAGCAACTGGGACTTCCATGTGGTTACTGTGGGTTACGATGGGAAGCCAAAAGCGTATGCATGCTAAACAGATGTTTTGATCTTTTAAACGACCGACTGGGAGACCAGACCACCCAAACCCCAACTGGCTTTGAACTTATGACAGCCATCCTGCCTCAGTCTCTCCAGTGCTGGGATGACAGGTGTCTTGCTTTATTTTTAGGACAGGGTCTCTCTGTGTAGCCCTGGCTGTCCTTGAACTCTCTCTGTAGACCAGGCTGCCCTCAGACTCAGAGATCCACCTGCCTCTGCCTCCTGAGTGCTGGGATTAAAGTTTTGTGCCTCCACTGACCACTGTCTTTTAAAGGATGATTTACAATGTTCTTTTGTGATTCGGTGAAGAATTAGATATCGTTACCTTTCTGTCTTTTCTGTAGCCTTAATGTTTGAAACATGGATGCTGGACGTGAAGGAGGGACCTGTAGGCACCGAGACCTGCACTGTCACGGAGGACCTGAGGACATACTTCTACTCTGTCCTCTCTCTCTTCTCCCCCAGCCTCTCCCACAAGGGGTGGAACCCAGGGCCCTGGGCAGGCAGATGCTGTACCCTCAATGCGAGTATACATGTTCCAATGTATTTTTTTGCAGAATCATTCTGCCTGCTTCTCCTGTGTCATCCCCACGATGTACAGTGGAAAGAGAATTTTTTTTTTTAATGAGAGCTGGACACTGTTAGGACAAGACAGAAAGCCATATTGTAGTAGAACTTAATTATACATTAAGGATATTCATTATATTAATAGGTTAATTACCATGAGTAATATAAAGGCAGTCTTATTGTTATACAGACTGGGAGGAGTCTTGTAGCCTCCGCCTGGGCAGCATTTGCTTTGGGAGTTAGTACTGTGTGAAGTCTGACCACCCTGAGGCCACTGTGCCCGGATGCCGAGTGTCCCAGGGGAAGGTGCCGCCTGATAGGAGCGAGGCTGGATCAGTCCAGGCACCGCTCATTTCCCAGCCGAGCCCCTAGGCATAGGACTTGAGGTGCCATTCGGCACACAGGACATGGGGGAACCCCAGGGCCTAGGCAGATCATAAGCTGAGCTGATAACTGCAACCGTTCAAGCTGGCCCAACCGAGACCCCAGATACTGGGGAGCAAAGAGCAGAACCTCGGGGCCCAGCCTGAGTCATGGACTTCACCGTATTGCAAAGGCTAACGAAGCAGGTGTTGTTTTCTGCCCCTAGCTGATGTGCTCCTTACACCACCTGTAACGGAACACCATAAGCAGCAGAGGCAGGCTGGCTGAGCCTTCCCTGGCCCTGCAGTGTGTAAAGTGGAGCCTCCAGTCTCTGAGCTGTGGTGGACAGTGCTTGGCATGGGAGCCCCAGGCTGGATTCATCCCACCCTAGCCCTGGCTACCAGGAAGTTGCAGTCTAGGGCCCAGCCCTGTCAAATGTCACGGTTACTCTTTCACACGGGCGTTGGACCTTTGGAGTCAGCAAAAACTGACTGGACTCTCCTCATCTTGGGTTATTGCCACCTGTGGGTATCCATGGGAATTCATTTAGGTTTATACTCGTTACTTCCCGACTGAGGCTGCCGGGTTGCGACCCAGGCTCCCCCCTGCATCGTGTGGCTTATGCAAGGACAGTCACCTGGGGCTGAGGATGTAGCTCAGTGGTGGGATGCTTATCTGGCATGTTCAAGGCTGTGGGCTCAACCTCCAGGTTTCCTGTCCACCATAAATCTCTAGAGACACATGGCAAGTGGCTTTCTTGGGTTTTCTGCCTTACACAGACCAGTGAAGCATGCATGTGCACTGCTGATTTGGTGTGATTGTGGGGATAACTATTAGAAACCGCTTACTGTGACCTTCAGTTTTCTTATCTTACACAGCCACCTGCCTTACTGGATCATATTGAGAGTCACTAGCAACAGTATTGAACCCAATGACAATACGGACCAACATTTATTATTTACTCTGTACCATGTACCGTGCAAAGTGCTCTACATGGATTATATTGCTAAGGATAAAGGCAGAGTCCCAATTCAATGCAGTAAAAATGGAAGAACACATAAAAAAAAATCACACCTTCTCTTCCATTTCCTCTTCCCTAAGGATCTCTAATGAGGAACTTAAGGAGACATCCTATCTCAAGGATGGAGTCTAATGGTACCTAACATATGTAAACTTATTTCTCCTTTGTAAAGTGGAGATGTGGAGGTCACTGGCATTTGCTGTGGACTCTTCCAGACAGCCAGGGGGCAAGTGTAACATCATCAGGATATTTACTGAGCTTGTTGTGGGCATGCCCCTGCTCCCTGGCCTGTAGACACAACCAATAGTGTCCATAGAGATGTTCATTCAGTGATGAAGGAACCAATGGTCCCACCAAGCTTCTCAGCAACAAAGGAGGACCACAGAGAGACTAAGAGATACACCCTGCATCCTAATCCTGAGGCTGACCTGGCACATCCTTCAGTTTGATTGGAGCAAATCTGCATCATAGACTGTGGGCTGTCTGCCCTCCCCCAGGAAAAGTCCTGGTCCCCAGGGAATGGAACATGTTAGTATGCGCTCTCTAGGGATTCTCCACTTAGCTTGGAAATCTGTTAGGCTCAAGGATTCGATGACATTGTGTCTGAGAGCACTCATTACAATGTATAAAAATCTCACAAAGTGGAATTCTGGGTAGTCATTTAAGAGGAAAATCGATGCCGGATGGGGGTGGCACACACTTTTAGTCCTAGTACTTGGGAGGCAGAGGCAAGTGGATCTCTGTGAGTTCGAGGTCAGTATGGTCTACAGAGTGAGTTCCAGGATAGCCAGGGCTACACTGAGAAACCCTGTCTGGAAAAAAAGAAAGAAAAGATGAAAACGAAGTCATTGGAAAGAACTGATTAACAGGCTAAGCAAAAGTTGGACATGTTGGTGCACACCTATAATCCTGAGTGCTCAGGAAGTGGGGGCATGAAGACCCCAAGTTTCAGGACAGCCTGGCCTATATAGTGGGATCCTTTAGAAGTATGTAGAAATATATGCACAAAAACCAAGTTTATCCTGGAACATTAGCATTAGCTATCATGGCTGTTGAGCTTGTAGATGACCTCCCTCCCCGCTCTCTCTTCTGTCCTTGTCCTTTCCCCTTCCTCTTCCCCATCTGCAAGGGCTGAGGAGCAGACTTAGGGCCTCGCATCTGCCAGGCAAGCATTCTACCGCTGAGCTAAA